TTTTTTTTATTGACCCGTAGTGAAGAAATTATATTCGGAATGTCGATATAAAAGTAAAAATTTCGGGATAAAAGACATTTCTATCGACTGAAGGAACAAAAAACCCATGACACTTCTACACTTTCATGGAATATGTAATGGGAATAGAAGTGGAGAAGGGAAGGTGAAAGTCCATGCTGTATTCAATTCCATTGTAACAAAAACAAAATTCTGTGAAAATCACTCCGAGTTCTCTTGTTGATAAGGGATATAGATCACATATTAATTTGAATTGCATAATAATTTATAATCGTAGTTATATATATGTATAATATTATTTTTTATTGAGAATCGTCGTGTGAGGCCTTTATTAGGAAAACATATCAGCAGAACAATAGGTGGCATGCATTAATAAAGGCTGACATTCGTGACATTCAATTATAGCGATGTTTCAATGATTATTTTTCTACACTTGCATCCGGGAGAAACCCACAAATATTGATAGACAATAAAAACAATCACATATAAATATTGTTTCTAAGCTGTTCATAAAAATTTGTTCGAAACGCTCTATTGGTGTACCTATTACTACTACAGAATTGTCACACCTCAATTTCATTCTCTTACTGAAATCAACGTCCCATAGATTAGTGGGGCTGGAAATCAAACGATTCGACCGTGTTTGGCACGAAGGACTCCTCCACAAACTACCATCATACGGCTCACCACCTCAGCTATGCTATCTCTTATCAAGTTTTTTGTTAGACAGATCGCTTCCACGTGGTGGTGGACGGTGTATCGTCTGATACCATTGGCATCAATTCCGGCGTTCCACAAGGATCAATAATTTTGGCACCAACATTATTCCTTCTTCATATCAATGATCTGTTGGGAGTAACAACTTGCCCCATCCACAGCTTTGCAAATGATAGTACCCTCCATACTGCGTTCTCTTCCAGAATTCCCATTTCTTCCCAGGAAACTAAGAACTCACGGCGCAGGCAGGTCAATGCTGTCAATGGAGTGATGGAGAAAGCCATCAACATTGAGCTCATCAAATATCTGGAGAACTCAGGAATAACTAATGATAGACAACATGGCTCTCGCCACCGAAGATCAACTGTAGATTTACTTGCCTACGTCACTCATGTATGGCAAAACATGGGGAATCTCTAGTAGCTGTGACGCTAGATGTATCGAAGGCATTCGACCGTGTTTGGCACTAAGGACTGCTTCACAAACTACCAACATAAGGCATACCACCTCAGCTATGCCCTTTTATAGAGTTCTTTCAGGCAGATCGCTCCATGTGGTGGTGGACGGAAGGTCGTTTGATACCATTGTCATTAGTTCCGGCGTTCCACAAGGATCAATCTTGGCACCCACATTGTTCCTAATCCATATCAACGATCTATTGGGAGTAACCACTTGCCCTATCCACAGCTTTGTAGACGATCTTCATACTGCGTTCTCTTCTAGAGTTCCCATTTCATCCCAGGAAAATAAGAACTTGCGACGGAGGCAGGCCAACGCTGTCAATGAAGATCTTGCGGAAATCACAGCCTGGGGACCCAACAACCTAGTTGAATTCAACGCCACCAAAACTCAAGCCTGTATTTTCTCTAGGAAGGCGGAACTCAGTATGCCCGATATTGTAATGTCTGGCATCACCATCCCCACCAAGCCCACCATATCTATGCTCGGTATTTCCATCAGCAACACTCTTTCATGGAATAATCATGTCAGATCCATCGCAAAAGCTGCCTCATAAAAACTCGGATTCTTGTTCCGTGCGAAAAGCTACTTTACACCTCAACAGCTTCTAATGATCTACAAAGCGCAGATACCTGTTCTAGAATACTGTTCTCACATATGGGGTTCAGCACCAAAATATACGCTGATGCTCTTAGATTCCATCCAGAGAAGAGCCATTCGCCTGGTGGGTGACACATTCACTCACTCTTAGACATCATTGGAACACCGTAGAAAGGTCGGCGACCTTTCACTTTTCTATCGATACTTCCACGGGAAATGTTCTTCGGAAATCTCTGCTATCATTTCTTCACTAGCAATACCAATCAGACGATCTAGACAAGCCCAGTCAGCACATCATTTCGTTGTCAACCTCGAAAACATTATCAAAACTCCTTCATCCATATAGGACGGCTAGGCTCTGGAATTCATTGCCTGAGGAAGTATTCCCAACAACATATAAACTCAAGAAGTTCAAACAAAATTCCAATACCTACCTCCTGTCCCTATCCTCCCTAGGAACGCACGATTTTCTTTGAACATTATAGGGATTTCCTTTCGTGCGCCCAAGCGATAAAAAAAAGAAAGAACAAAAAAAAAGAATTCATATCTAGTTCTCTGGACAAAAGGAAGCTAGTCGATGTGGTATACACGGATTTTGGAAAAGCCTTCGATAAAATCCCTCATCTACTAGTATTTTTTTATAAAAATTGGTATATTCTCGCAAGATTGCAACAACTATTAAAATCGATTATATTATTTTTCAATGACATAGGTGACTCTCTGAACTCGAAAACTCTACTATATGCCGATGATTTGAAGTTATACCGTGAGATAAATGATTTTAGAGATTGTCAATAATTACAAAAAGATTTAGTGACTCTAAATGATTGGTGTATAGAAAACAATTTACTTCTGAAGTGCAAAGTGATGACATTTTTCCGTAAGAATGTTCCTTTTGTTTTCAATGATTGTCAAGGGTTTCTGAATGCAAAGATCTAGGCGTTATTCTCGATGAAAAGCTCAGCTTTGTGAATCACATTACCTAATACCGTTATTGGCCAGGCCAATCGTAATTAAGGTTTTCTTATGAGAAACTGTAAGGAATTTCATTCTTTCAATGCTTCATGTCATATTTACTACTCGATGGTTAGAAGCAAGCTGAAATATTGTAGCGTTATATGGAACCCCAGCTATACAAAATATGTAGATGCATTGGAAGCTGTTCAGAAGAAATTTATAAATTATGCTATTTTCAAAAAACATGGCATCTATCCAGACGGAGGCTATGATAATAATTTATTGTTGGAAGAATTCGATATGTTCTCGCAGAAAAAAAAAGAGAGAGATCGCGAATCTTGTTTTCCTATACAAAGTCATCAACAATGGCATAGATTCTCCGAATCTTATGTCAGCAGTAGACTTCAATATCCCAAGAATCACGTCTAGAACAAATACTATATACCTTTAACTTGGTAGTATCTAATTCGCGACACCATTATCACTGCCCTCTTTCGAATGTGTGTAGGTTTTACAATGATTTGCCATCTGTCAATGTTGACATTTTTTTCTGTCATAACGAGCATTCGAGAAAGAACTTTCTAGTGTCTTTCCGAATTAATCATTATGTCTTTATATAAGTATGATCATTAGCGCTCAGCAATTAGCCTATTGGATGTATATACCTATAGTTATTAAATAAATAATTATTAAATGAATAAATAAATAAGTGAAGTGTGTTTTTACTACCAAGGTATTTTCGTCATTTTATGAACCACTAGTCAATAAAGCAACCTCTAAAAATTGTTGTTGTTCTTTTCCATCATTCGGTTGCCCCCTCACGATCAACCCTCAGAAGTCTTCAAGAGACTTGTGCGAGCAAGGAATGACAGGGGTCTTACCTTCTAACGTGTGATCCCAAACACTTTCTCGTCATTAATTAATTAATTATTTTCCGTCGACCTCGTATTAACGACTAAGTTTAATGTATATGAAATCGTTCATTAATGACCCCTATTAATGAACGATTTGTCTATTAATGTACGATTGTTTTATAGGCAACCAAACATACACCGCGTGCATTCATTGTTTATGCTATAACTTACGGAATCTGCATATAAATCGAAAATATGGATTTCATTGAAGATTTTCTGTTAACGGGTTCACCTTTCCAAGTTTCTGACACGATTTTAATCCCTGTTTTCTAAACACAAGGAATTTATTTTCTATGTTGATCATTTCGACAAATGTCAAATGACACTAATGTCAGTGACAAGGCTACTGGGTGATTCTTAGCAGTTTCCGGATGGATGATGAATTCGCGAACCAAGTTTTCTTCATTGCAGGAGAAATGAGAAATATAGTCGACGGAAAAATTTTGTAACCAACTTGTATATTAAAAGGCGATTAATGATCTCGAACATCAACGCGCTCGCTTCGCTCGCACGTTAAAATATCTCGATCATTAATCGCCCTCATTAATAAACTAGTTGGTTAAATAACTATTATCGATAACGACTTGTCATAATATAATATGCTGTCATGGTCATTGTTAAGCATTGAAAATAAGTACTTTCATAGTGACAAAAGGTCCATATTTTGGTTTCATAGAGCTAAAATGATTGAAATATATTGCTAGTGGTGGAAAAAATTTAACATTAACCTTGGTAGTAAAGAACATTATTACACGGGACCTTGGATGAAGCCTCGGGATATAATCCTTGGTCCCTCGGTAATAATGATATTCTTTACTACCTTGGTGTATAAATAACTATTGTCTGTGATATATTTGGGAGAAGATCGTAACTGTATTACTTTCTCCTTCTAACGATTGTAACAGTGTTGTATATGATAGAACAATATAACCAAACTACCACTAATATTATCGATATTATAAGTTAGTATATCATTTTTGAATGTCCTGCCCTGTGCCCTGGAGAAGGCTATGGGAGACAAGGTGATACCTACTTAAGAAACATTATTGTATTGTGATAATTTCTATAATCATTTTCAAGCCTTGAATGTGCCTTGACCATGAAATGCTAAATAATAACTCGAATTGATGGTTCCTACCTCGATCTTCCTACTCGTTTTTTCATTGCCTGCTAACACAAATGGTTATGCGGTGTTGATTGTATTTCAAATTTGAACAGTCAATTACACAAGTTGAAACAACATTGTCACAATAATCGTAGGTAGATATGTACCTACGCAAGATTATTATGATTGACTTCCACTAAACTAATAACTGTGTTTCATTTTCTTTTCAGGTGCCATCGCTCAAGATCTGCCAGTAACTCAGCAATGTTTGGGGTGCATCTGCGAAGCTATCTCTTCGTGCAACACCACAAGAACGTGCTCTGGTAGGTAATAATTGAACAAAAAATAAAACAAAATACAGTTTTCGACTTTTTAATATCATGAAAGGCTCTCGATTGGTTCCTATAAGATTCATGATAACTAATAAATATCATAATTCATAGCAGAAGGAACCCAAAGTCATCTTCACAACATTCATTGGAAAGATTAGAGATCAATCACGCCGGTACATGTTTCAGGCTTATATAATTAAGCTCATCATCAGCCGATTACAAGATTTTAGTTATGTAAATGAAAACGTTGGAAATTTGATAATGTAGACAATGAAATGGGACAAAACACATCGTATGCACCATTTTTATGTGTAATGAATAGGTGTTTTTTTATGAAAACATCGAAAAATGTGATAAATGGGTCGTGTTATTAATTTTATAAGAGTCCATCGTATATCTAATATTGAAGCAGGTGCTCTTATACTCACACATTTTTCTTCAAATAGACCCATAAAAAAACGTCTAAGGTTTGAAATCTGGCGAGCGGGCTGGCCCCTCCCGTAGGACCTCAACGGCCAATCCAACGACCAGGAAAAGTATCATCCAAATGTTTTTAACTTGTCTGGAGCAATGTGGTGGTGCTTCATCTTGTTATACGACGCTATACATAGTGGAGTATACTACGGCCGTGCCAAAAATGCTATCTCGGAAACTAAGCGAGATAGAGGTATAGTTGCTTTGGAGAAAATGATCCCCATCGAATTTTGAGCAACTTTGGTTTTTGTGTGTGGTCTGTCTGTCTGTCTGTCTGTACTCTGTGTTAATCATAAATCGATATATCTCCGGAACCCTTTGACATATCGACTTGAAATTTTGCCATCTTATTGTACTCAAAACAATATTATGTCATTAAAATATGAAGGAAATCGGAAAACTCTAAGGTGGTTTTTCCGGGTTTTTTCGATTTTTCACCGGAAGTTCCTTGTAATCACTCTACAAATCGCAAAAGTGGTCCGATCGATTTCATTTTTTGTGAAAAATAACTCTATCAGGGAGAGACGAAGCCTATTGAAATTGAGCAGGATCGGAGAATTCCAAGTGGGGTTTTCAAGAAGATTTTCCGAAAAACACGGTTCGCTTTAAAACGACATATCTCGTGAACCAATAGACTAAATCCAAATTTGAAAAATGCACCGTATGCCTCTTTGATGACGCAACGAATTATTATTCAACAATTTTTTCGTGCATCCATCGGAAAATGGAAAAACAAATGAAAATCAAAACATCAAAATTTGAAATCCTTTCAATTCAATATATATCGAAAACAAATGGAAAAATCGAAAATTATCAGGAGTGCAAAGTTATCCACTGGAACATTTCCTACAAATTATTCTCTATAATTTTTTCTGTAAACAGAATAGTACAGGAAATAAAGTGAAAAATATGAAAAAAAAAATTTGAACGACCCATAGGGTACTATGAAGATATATTGAAAAACAAAGATTATCGAAAGATGAAGTTCATCGACCTCCTTTGAACCATGAAATATTTTTTCATTTTGTTGATTGGAAGATGGAACAAAAGTGTTGAAAATTTAATTCTCAGATAATTCCAAATATCTCGAAAACAACTGAAAATATCTGAAAATGTTATAGAAACAAAAATATTCCTTTTGAAAGAATCTACAAAAAATCCTCATAACATTTTTCTCTGAATTCAATAGTTCGGGAGATACGATGAAAAAACTAAAAAATTTACAAGTTCCTAGATAATCACTTGCCAATAGAAAACGAAACAAAAAACAGAAGGAAGTAAAAAAAGCACACTCGACTGTCTTGATTTTTTTCCCATAAATTACGTACCTAGCTCACTCTACTGTCTTTATTTTTGCTAATAAACTAGGTACGGGCTAAGTACGTAGTTTGTACGAAAAATCTCCAGTTCTTTGAACTTTTATAGCGTCGTATACACATCATTGGTGCCCAATGATAGTTTCAATATAAAAATATTCTCATGATATGGTGCCATGGCCTCTACTTCCATCTTACATGAGCAATGATAAAATATAATCTGCCTTTATAGCGTCGTATAAATTATCTGACCTCTAAATAAAATAATACCTCATGAAAACTACATCTATACTAATCTGATACCTTTTGAAAACTACGTACCCCACTTGTTAGAATACAGTATCCATATTGATGTGTTTGTATTCAGGCAACTATTGAATGTTCCGCCATTTCGTAGTAGGTGAAGATTTCGATTTTATATTCTAGGGTTTTGAAGTACTCGCCAGGAGCTTTAGAAAGATGTATCACAAGACCCCTCCTTTCCATTCAATTGTTTCTTCCCAGATGGCGCCCAGCCGCCATCTTGAAATTTTCATCTGTCAATTTTACTTCCAAATATAGTATGCATGTATCAATGTCATTATCTCGCGTTTAAATTTTTTCAGTTGACCTGTTCAAAGAATAAAAGGGGAGGAAAACATTCAAAAAAAGCACTGTAGTTGAATTCAACGGCAACAGTTATTCAGTACCTATGCCTGATACCACATTTGCTACCAAGACCACTATATCTATGCTCCGTATTTCCATCAGCAATACTCTTTCATGGGACCATCATGTCCGATCCATCACGAAAGCTGCTTCACAAAATGTCGGATTTTGTGCTACCTGAACTGACAAATGTCACTTTGGACTGACAATTGCCACTCTGAACTGACAATTTCATTGTCACTTTGAACTGACAATAATTATCACTTTGAACTGGCAATTGCCCCAATTTCATTTTTTTGTAATTGCCACTTCATAGGGACAATTGTCAATTCAAAGTGACAACTGTCAGTTCAAAGTGACAACTGTCAGTTCAAAGTGGCAATTTCCACTCCAAAGTGACAATGGTCAGTTCTTGGTTCAAAGTAATAATTGTCACTTTGAAGTGGCAATTGTCCGCAAATGTCACTTTGAACTGACAATTGCCACTTCGAAGTGACAATTGTCAGTTCAAAGTGACAATTACCAATTCGAAGTGGCAATGAAGTTGTTGGCCCTTCTACGCCTTCGTGAAAATACTCTATATTTTTTAAATATTTGAAGATGGGTATAGGACATTGTACATGAAATATATCTACAATTTCATGAAGAATTCGAAAATAGAATAAAGTACAGGGTGTAGCACTGAAAATAAGAAAGTCGGTCGCTGTTACATGACACTACCTGTTTTTATTGGAAAATATAATTATGCACTTCTAAAAATATAAATCGACATATCGAATTTCACCAAACTGAAAAGCCCATTTGAAATTGCTTAACTGAAATAGTAGATTGTTTAACGAGAACGGAATGATAGTGTTTTCCCACGAGAATGAAGTTTGCAGGATGAGCCGTAGGCGAAAGCTGCAATCACTCGAGTGAAAAATTAGCATTATGAGCGAGTTATACACTATAATTTTTCTACGAATGTAACAAATTAAAGCGACATTTTTGATTTCTTCGTCTTGTAGCCATCTGATTTCCTCTCAAGTAATACTGATCTATTTGACAGAGCTGTCATTGCTTGAAATTTGATATTCCATGAGCGATGAGTTTTTTTTTGAGATAATAACACAATGGAGTCGTTGTGATATCTGATACGGAGATAAAATTTATGACATACAAAGTACCTCATTGATGTATCGAACACAGTAAAACAAGAGCATTTTTGTTATAGCCTTAGAAAAATGGTTTTGGGCAAGGCGCAATGATTCTATACTGTCATCGATCTCGTAAATGCATAAGATTTCGTCCTAGCTTATGGCACCAGCGGTCTTGATACATATGCCTTTCGTAAAGTAGATACTTACTGGATAATTTCATTTTTAGTCGAACTATCAATTTGAGAGGAATCTTCTGGAACATGTCGATTTTGATTTTTGACGACCGCCACAATAAATAGAACACCCTATATATTATACAATTTTTGAAATCCCCATGCAAAGCTGCATTCAAGAATATGTCGCATACATGGTTTGTATACTGTGCATTCATTGAAAAGTGTATTCGTGAAGTAGTGAAAAGATCGTTGAAAATTAAAGGAATAATTTTTGGAAATAACGCTCAGAGCCGTCGAATTTCATATTCATTCATCAGCCACTTTGCCAAATCCGATTAATACATACAGAATAATTCTTGGAGAAGAAATTAGGCCATCTATATTTTTTTAATGGCAACTCCATTTCACTATAGCACTGAATAATATAACGGACGCAGTGTATGCAAATCCCATGTGTGATATTATGATTTTGCCACGTTTTGCATTCAGCCTTCCATGAAGATTCTGAAAATTCAAAAATATATAATATGGTGTTCCATTTGAAAAAAATTGTCGCGGACTTCATAACTCAAACATTGGATCATCTGAATATATAAATTTCCCTTATAAACGTGAAGAATTGAAGATTGAAGATCGTTCTCGTTCAGGAGATTCCTCAGAAATGGATAGTTTGGCTAAAAATGAATTTATTCACTACTTATAACGAAAGCACTCAATCTAACAGACGCACTGTATGGAAACTCATTATGTGATATATTTTTGGATTCAGCTTTCCATGAGGATTCCAAATTTGAATAATATATAGGGTGTTCTATTTGAAAAAATGAATCCGGACGTCATAACTCAAACGTGGAAAATCGAAAATAAAAACCGATCTATTTCAGGAGATTTCTCAGAGATGAAAAGTTTTCCTAAAAATGGATTTACTCAGTTCTTTAGGATATAGCACTGTATACGTACATGTGTATATGTGGCCACTTCATGAAATGAACTGGTAGAGACGATTCCAAGAAATTATTTGCCTTCTCACCAACATTCTCAACTTTGGAAACTAGATCTTCAAATTGTCTTTTCTACATTGGAACTTTATAGGTGACGTATGTGGTCCATTCAGGATAACCTGGGCATACTGGGCAGACTCTGGAAAGCCAACAGTAAGAGGAGAATCTACCGAATCAAATTCAGCATACTCCAACTGCGCTGTTGACACTTACTGTTCTGCCCTTTCTGTACAAGGATACATGAGCAAATTCCAACAGGTCTGTATATAATTATTGTTAAACAGCTTCTTCACGGTGTATATTATCACACTAAATTGATTCCACCTACTACCAATATGTAGTGTGGAATATTACGACACTGATTTTAGTTTTGTAATGAGATAAGAGCAGCCTCCTGCATTCTTTGAATGTGTGCGACTGAGTTCCGCCCTTTTGCATCGTGATATAAATAAAGACATATTATTATCATTATTATCATTATTATTATTATACTTTACCGCACTAGTGCGATAAAGTGAATAAAAATAACTTCAAATATCAGTTTTTTCCTCAAATAGAAGTAACAAGAACTAACTGATCATGAATATAGCATTAGGTGTACTGAAGTTTCAATTGCTTCAATGTGCTTATATCACGAAAAAAATTTATTTCATAATTCCATAGAACTCACCCAAACTAGCTCACCACCGCAAACCGTTTCTTGCTGTGAGCCCCCTACGTTTTATAAAAAATCATTGAAATCCCCGATTTTTTGGACCTCTGAAAACGAGGCATGATGTGACAAAACCCTAATACTGAAACAAGACTATTCCCGACAGAGATGAATGATACATGATTTCTGACAGAGTGAATTAGCGCGAGATCACAGTTGGAAGAAATATATCAGTTGCCTCAGTCTCCGTCGGGCGTTTGGTATTTTCTTTCAACTTTGGCGAGAAGAGGTTTCTACGTCATAAGAGGGTCCGTTTTCAGAAGGTACTATTATTTATGTCCAAAAATAAAACAGTCCAGTAAATTTTTCGATCGAATTATGTCGTCAATCATTATTTATGTATAAAAAGATCATTATACAGATGGTTTGAGTTGAAAGTTCTACTAAGGTGTACACGCCCATTGCTGTAATAGTATGGTAGCCCAAGCGAGATTTCGGGATTTACTCGAGCGCGGCAGATTAACATAAGGGGGGATATTCTTGGACCCAGTGAAGTACTCCCAGTACACCTGGGCCCTTTATATGGTGTAAAAAATTTAGGGCGGCACATCAGATTAGTAAAAAAAAATCAATCGTCAGAAATACTCCAGCGCGTCAGATTAGGACATGGTACGCTGATTACATGCAGAAAAGTGTGCATATCAATAATCTGACGATTTGAGCGTGACATAAGGAAATGGGAGAGCCACAAAGTTGCAAAAAAAAATAGTCACCTGTACATTCTCGAGCGCGGTAATTTTTTTTTTATTTTGAAGGCAATTAGTCACGCATCACGGAAATGACATAATCTGCCAATTTGCACAGGCCGAAGTAGCGAAAATCATCAATTAAGTGTGGTGCTTGCAGTTAAATTTCTATACATCTCTCTTGCAGCCACTGGGAACTATGTATGTAATTGTGGTAACGTAGGAAACTGAAAAAAAAGTATCACTTTGTATTTCGTTATCAATTCTTGAACCTTCGCATTTTTTGACATTTGTAGACAGACGTGAATATACAGGGTGGACTAATAGTGTGGCAAAGTGAGATAACGGCTTTTTGCTGTTTGAGATAGATGAATAAACATCTTTGAGATGGTCTAGGCTCATGAGAAGCACTTTTCTGAAGTATTTTGCGTTATACAGAGTTACATTTTTTAAAACCTGTACACGCTCTCTCTACTAGTGAGAGGTCATATATAATATAAACTTTTTCTTCATCTTTGCATCTAATCTTCACAATCTGATACGTCCCCACGACGCTCGAGTAAATCCCTATTTAGCCTCTTTGCTTTGCCTACCCTACTATAATTTTTAAGTCTGAGTAAACACTTTTTCTCAAATTGAAAAGAACGCGTCATAGTTGACAGTTCAAGGAATATCAAATATTTTTGATGGAATAATCAGCATTTTTGGTAGTAGGTGAGATATTGTACTATATTTGTATTGTAAATGCATATTACGATAATCGGTGGGTTATCAAACACAAATTTCCCATCTCATATCGTAATAAAAGTCTTCACGATACTTGTTTCATGAATATCTATTACGAAATGCCTCATTTATGTAAAATTGAAATGAGGAAGGTAAATCCAGCGCGATAGGTTCATAACGGATTATGGGACGGTCGTATATAAATTAGGTGTATGGACTATGGACCCCGCACAAATAGGGAAATGGGTTATTTCGGTATAGATTAGATCTATGATGGTTTCGGTCAAATTGGCTGCATTCTTAGTATTTTCAATGTAATGTTCGACTTTCGTGAAATGTCGAATTCTCTCGATTTCCTAGTAAAACGAGTGTTTATATTCGGATTCACTTCGACATAATAAAGGATAGAATATATACAGGGTGTTTCATAATTGAACGTCGATATTCAGAGAGACGATTCGTGGGCCCATTCTAAGAAGAAAGTTCCATATGAACGTATGATCTAAACGTCCTAACTTTTGAGATACAGGGTGGTAAAGTTCTCAAAAATTAACATAGCCTACTACGATAAAAAGTTATGATTCCAAAATACCAAATACGAATACGGAGTTCATTAACTATGAATTGAATTGCTGAAATTTGATCTGATGAAAAACATATATTTCTCTGCATTGTGATATTAAGGATATTGCTATAATCATGTACTGAAACGCTTTTCATTTTTTCAAGCGAGAACCGTACATCAGATTGAAAAATTGTGTTGATCAAATTTGCTCAGAAATGATTGGAAATTTCAGGAATGATTCCAATTTCGAGATTAATCAGTAGCGTACCATCAATGTATGCCAAAATAGGTATGTGAAATTCCATACGAACGCCACTGGTGGCAACCAAAAAAAATGTGGTACACTAACTGATCCCTCTTGATACATAGTACATGTATGCCAAATTTCATTAGAATATCTGAAGTGGTATTACAGATATTAATAAAAAACTATTAATTAATTAATAACTCGAATATTGACATTCAGTTATGAAACACCCTGTATAGTGAACTCAGTCTTGATCACCATTTCAATATTTGTTTAATCACGCCTAATGAATAATAATATGGCGATGCGATACCTCTGGTGGAGAACTAAAGAAAATCGCCAAACGGGAGGCTCACCAACATATTATATACAGGATGAAGAAGAGTTATTGAATAGCTTATAATAATTAGTAATTGTTAGAAATGAAACACACACCTGGTATAGTGTTACTAATTTTTTATGTGAACAGAAATGAAGAAGTGGCCGTGTCCGTATTTATACTGGGTGATTCATTCAGTCATTCCAAACTCGCCCCAACGTCTGGTGGTCAGGTGGTCAGGTGGAAAATAAAAATCCAAAAGTTCACATCCAACTCGAAAAGTTTTGAGAAATCAATCAGTGATCCAAAATCAAAATACATGGTGAGATGAAAACGGAAAGAGCATTATAATTCTGGGAAATCTACATCTTGTATGAAAAATAGGTATAGTCAGATGCATGCAATTCTAGTCACTTCTGCGCTAACGCTGTCCAACTGCGATATGTTTTTTGCACCTGACTGTATGTGGTGAAATCAGAAAATAAACATATATTTGTGAGTCTCTCCTGGAAAAACTGAAAATGAAATCAGAATCTAATATCATCACATCATTCACTCATGTTTAAAGATACCATTTTATCATGATCAAATGAAGTGTGATTTTTTTTTTCAGTTTGCAAGTGCTTCATTATATATTGTAGGCATGATAATCATCATAACAAAATTATATTCCTTGAGAGCTATCAGGTTAGACTTACCAAATGATTTTTCAGTTTTCATCGAAATTTCCGGAAAATTTGCAAGGATGAATCACTTTTTAAATTCAGGCACAGCTGTGATGAAGAATAACCAATTACCATTGTTATGAATGTTTTGATAGATATCGGTGATCTTTATGTTGAATCTATGAGTGAGAATTTAAGAATTTTTTTCCCAGTTACACTAAAAAGGATGAACCTGAAATTATAAACATATAAATCCATCTCATATGTACAACAATTTCGTGTGAAATGCCTATGCTACCAAATGCAAACGCATGACCATCCGTTTCTGAATATTGGGAATGTAATAGAGGGTTGGTATATACAATAACTCATCATCCTGTATAAGAACCCCATCAGTCATTAGATACATGAGGAAGGCTTCAAATGAGGCACTGTAAAACAATATTCTTTGTGATTCAAAATCATCGAAATGACACATAGCCTCCATTCATAATAGTTTGAATTGGTATACTATATACAGGGTGTTTGGTAGCTGGGTGCAAACCTTAAAGGGGGTGATACACTAGCCCATGTAGAACATATTCATACAAACATTTTCATTTTCTAGCGCGTTTTTGATTTTTAAGGGAACTTTTACGATTTTTAGTACAAAAACCCAAAATTGGTCAATTAAATGCTAATAACTTCGAATCTTAACAGAAATGTCCAGTTTTTTTCATTTATTTCAGTAGTCTTATGTGTCCCCAATGTAGTTTGAAGCACCATTGTGTCAAAAAAAGTTATGTACAGAGCATTTAAACTTTACAAAAAAAGAAAGAAAATAAAAAATCTGACCTTTGATGCCAATTAAAAAAATAAATAAAATACATACAGGTGTTCAGATACTTTTAAAAACATGCGTAGTTATTGCTCTTTCGTTCGAGGTATCATTTATCTATAGCTAAGTCCTTAACTTTTTCAGTTAGGGTGCCTGAACCAGTTAAGGGTTGTAAATATAGATATTTGAAAGATTTTAAAAAAAGTAATGTGAATGAATTTTAGCTCGAAAACCTTTAAACAGAAATCCTGAAGCAATATGCGATATTATTTTTAGACTTACATGGAATAATGAGAAACTTATCCCAACCGGTGGCGGTGGCATTTTACAACAAAGAATTTGACCTGAAGTTAGTCATTAATTGGAATGCATTCTTTCGTTATTGCTGGGGCCATGAAGTTGCTTCTGAGTTTATCAATTTTTAGGTACCTGAGTTGAGTAATCATCTTGGACCCCTCGCCGGGTCGATTTGGTTGGCCAAACAAGCTAAATAAATGATTTTTATTATTATTATTTTACACGTGTTCAATTACCTAAATTAACTAATTTTATTGCATTTTTGTTTCAAATTCCTTTACAAAGAAAGTTTCCAATAAATGTGTGGGCTGGGGTCATCGGACGCACATTGGTTGGCCCACACATTTTGCCTGACAATTTGAATAGACAAAATTACCTCGAATTCATGATAAACGACTTGCCAATGTTACTCTATGATGCCGAAGTGTCAATATTGGACATGGACAGGCCGATCACATTTCAGCAAGATGGATGCCCAGCACATTGGGCTGTTAGCGTCCGCGAACACCTGAACCACTGTTTTCCTGGCAACTGGATCGGGAGAAACGGACCCATCCCCTGGCCTGCCAGATCGCCCGACCTGACTCCGTTGGATTTTTTTTTGTGTGGGGTCGGGTGAAAGAACTCTTATAAAAAACAGAAATCACCACGAGAGAAGAATTACCTCAGCGAATAGAGGCAGCGTTTGAAATTATGAAACAGGAAATGCAAATGAAAGTAACCACAACCGAAGTACGAAATCGTTGTAGAAAGTGTATACGCAATGGTGGAGGACATTTTGAACACCAACAATAAATTTTTACAGTACAAAACATTTTTTTCTTCAATTCCAAAAAAATCTATATTTACGACCTTTAACTGGTTCAGGTACCCTAATTTAAAAAGTTCAGGATTTAGCCAGATGAATCATACCTCGAACGAAAGAGCAATAACTACGCATGTTTTTAAAAGTGTCTGAACACCTGTATGTATTTTATTTATTTTTTTAATTGACATCAAAGGTCAGAATTTTTATTTTCTTTCTTTTTTTGTGCAGCTTAAATGCTCTGTACATAACTTTTTTGGACACAATGGTGCTTCAGACTACTTTAGTACGATTGGGGACACATAAGACTACTAAAATAAATGAACAAAACCGGACATTTCTGATAAGATGAGAAGTTATTAGCATTTAATCGATGAATGTTGGGTATTTGTACTAAAAATCGCAAAAGTTCCCTTAAAAATCAAAAACGCGCTAGAAAATAAAAATGTTTGTATGAATATGTTCTACATGAGCTAGTGTATCACCCCCTTCAAGGTTTGCACCCAGCTACCAAACACCCTGTATATCTTCTGTCCTCATTCACATCAAACCGAATTTGATGACGTCTATATTTTATACTTGGGATCATCCGACATCACGAACAGTACACAGTATACACTCTCAATGCCGTTACATTTTTTCACCGAACGAACCCAACTTATTTTGCAGTGTTCTACTTACCATAGGAAGGGGAGTAGGTACATATTTTTGAAATACCCTGTATAGTTACGACTTTTGAGGAATTGGTTTTTGACTTTGAAGTAACGATTAACAATTTTCAAAAATATATTCACGACTACATATCTTGAGGATTTCGAACAAACAATAGTGGTCTCAAATTCTATGGTTTCAGGACTGTGATGGAAATGGGAGAATCGACTGCGACGATTTTGCTACAATTCACAAAATTGGTGGATATGGATGTAAAGGAGCCATTCTTCCAGAGCCATATGGAGAACGGTACAGACAGTGCAAGAATATCGTTGGGCAGTACAAGCCCTGAACAAATTTGCCTATGTTATTTTAATCTTAGGTTCTCAAAGCTGTGAATTTTTTTAATAAACACTTATTTCTAGACTGCGAAAAAGACACCTCACTCTTTTCATATTATATGCATACCCAGCATGTATTACTCCACTTTATCGTCAATATGATGAATTCTTCAGAGATAAACATAATTTTTGATGTGCTGTATGTTTTTATTGAATAAGCGGTCGATTTTTTGCGAAGGCAAAACAACCTCACTATACTCACTCACTATACAGGGTCACTGATATGTATGGAAACAGGTGAATATCTCGGCAATCTGTTGTTAGATTTTCTTGAATTTATGTACAGTGTGATTTCAAAACGTGGCGGATTTGAAAATGTTATAGCCTCTGTTGCCACTTTTTCAGTTATTCCGGATTTTTAGTAACTTCCTTATTTTGAATGAAACACCCTATACTTTATTGGATTTCCAGATTCTCCTTGAAGAGCTGATTCCATCGATCTATCACACTTGGGGTCGAGCGGGAATGATTACATAGGTATAGGGTATAGGGTGTTTAAAATCTAGGTTTTTCAACTTCAAGATTTTTTTGTGTAGAAACTATCCATTATCGATCAAAACCGCTTCAATGTTCCTATCTTCACTTTTGATTTACCATCTACTGACTATTTAATTGGAACAGATACAGAGGGTGATCAGAATTCTGAATCTTGAACCACCCTGTATTTGTTTCAATTAAATGTCAGTAGATAGTGAATCAGAAGTAAAGATGGGAACATTGGAGCGGTTTTGATCGATAATGAATAGTTTCGACACAAAAAAATACTAAAGTACCTATGTATTCATTCCTGCTAGACCCCAAGTGTGATAGATCGATGGAATTAGCTCTTCAGGTAGAATCTGAAAATCCAATGAATTTCAGGGTGTTCTATTCAAAATAAGGAAATTAATAAAAAATCCGGTATAACTGAAAAAGTGGCAACATTGGCTATAACATTTTCAAATCTGCCACGTTTTGAAATCACACAGTACATAAATTCAAGAAAATCCAACAACAGGTTACCGAGATATTCACCTGTTTCCATACATATCAGCGACCCTGTATACATCTATATACTATATCGTATGCTTTTGCATCCCCTTGGCATAATATGCATACATACACATAATCTATTTAGTCATGGGCAAAAGTATGGAACCAAGTGTATATCTCGGTAACCGGTAACCGTTTGTTAGATTTTTTCGAATTTTCGTACAGGATGATTTAAAACATGGCGAATTCGAGAATATGATCGATAATGTTGCCATGTCTCAATTTTTTCCGGAATTCTTGTCAACTCCATTCGATTTCATTGGTTCAAATGACACTTCCCACCCTAAAAGCACGCAACGTGTCCAGTATATAATTCAAGTCCGGAATTTCCGAATGTCCCGGGCCTATAATCATTGTCCTTGGGTCGTCCCATCCCGTAAATATCCCAGCTGGTGCATCATTTCAAATGTTTAAGAAATAGCATTCTTCAGACGTCCCACATGGTACATATTGTAGAATGTCCATGCACGGACGTCCTTAGCATGCCCTTATGGGATATAATTTTAAACGTTTCTAGGGACATCCATCGGATCTTCCATGTAATACATATTCTGGAATGACCTCAAAATTATATATAATGCCCCTTATAGAATATTCATGGAATGTCACAGTTGGTACATTTCTTCAAATATCTCTGCACGGACGCCCTTTTTATTATCGCTTGGAGCGCACGAAAGGGAATCCCTATAATGAACAAAAAACATCGTGCGTTCCTAGGGAGGATATGGACAGGAGGTAGGTATTGGAATTTTTTTTGAACTTCTGGAGATTATATGTTGTTGGGAATACTTCCACAGGCAATGAATTCCAGAGCCGTCGGATGTCCTAATTAGTACATGAACTGTTATGAATTGAATGAACTTATACCCATATACCATCAGTACGTCCCCAAAACGTACTGAGAACTTCCGGCCAAGACGTTTCGTGGGTACTGGGGACGTCTTCATTAAAAGCGTATTTGTACAATTCCAGTACGTCCATTCAGGACCATGAATACCTGAATCAACGTAAATTTGTCTTTTTCAACTTTGATAGTTAAAAAAGAGATCTAGACAGAGTAGAAAAGACTCGAGAAAAGATCTTATTTTGAACAAAAAATTTAAAAAGTGCTCCTACCGGCTATCGATCCCAAGACCTTCAGATTGGCGTATTGAAGTTGTTTATTTCTTTCGATTTGTTTACAATACAACACATTATTAACAGGCATCATGACAGATGCTCTATACCTAATACTCTATCGATAGTTCATCAGAGTCCATGTCCAAAACTTGTAGAAGTAAATTAATTCCAATATGGTACATCTGATATCCTTTATATCTTATTAGTAACATTTTATCGAAGCGAATTGGCCCCATATACGTATTAATAATCAATACGGATAATCTCTATCTGTTTCCATAGCGAAACATGAAGCCGATTTTTGAAGACAAATCTATCCATAAGGAAAAGTGAGATCAGATCAGACAAATACTGCTTTGATTGAAAGGCTAGTAAACGTCATTGTCCACCGAAACGCATGTCTTTGATGACTACTATAATAGCGCATGGCGCATGCGTATCATGCCACCAAATCCTTATGGATATACATTTGTTTCATATTTTTGGCTTCATCCTGGCACCCGTTATGATCCGTATTGTTTATTAATACGTATATGATTGGCCCACATCGTGGTATTTTCAAGTTTTGAATCTATTATAGTTTTATGTACAATTACCTAAGGACCAACCTGTATATTGTAATTTTTTGATTCATTTTTTCAGGTTGGATATATCCCACGGTTATTCATTTCAAAAATGAACATATTCATACTTTAAAAACTGTAGACACTGATTGTCACTTGCGACCTACAGACAATATTAAAATTTGTTTCAATGATGAGTATTCATCAATTACCATGGGTCAAAACTTGGATTGGAGTTCTTCAAACAAGTACTGATAAAGCTCAATCTATGCCATCGTTTTGGCTCAGGTTCTATTGAGGTATTTCATCATAACCAAACAACTATTTTCATAGGAGAAATAATTTGCCGAGTTATTTTTATAACAACTATTTTAATAGGAGAGCCAATGATAATCATGACGGTTGCCGAATCCTATAATGGAATGTTCTTATGCCCCCGGTCCCCAGAACGGTGGTCACGTTTCCGATTTTACCTAATCCGTCTACTACCTATTTCGCTTCAGGGCACTCCCCTGTAACCTATAAATCATACTACACCTTTTCCAGATGTATTTCAGAAAGCGTCAATTGTATTTCAGAATAGTCAATTGAATATCAGAAACCGTCATTTGTATTTCAGAAAATATCATTTGAATTTCAGAAAGCGTCAATTGAATTTCAGGAATTTCAGATATAGCATCGAGATCGATTAGTTAGTAGAAAGTGCACTCCATGTAAGAATGCATAGGATGTTCAGTACTTCCTGTAGTGATGTTTTCAATTTAATCACCCCAAATTTCATTTTTATGTACCTTTAGGTACCTATGTACTATTTGATGAACAGATTATAGAATTTCAGGTATAGGGGACTATCATAGACACTTATTTCTATGTTGCTATGAAAATGTTCTGATTTTTACATGTTTGTCCAATAGGAAGTGACTGATGGCTGTTTGATACTGTAAAATAGGCTTCCTAATAACATTTACAAAATCAAGCTCTGTTGCTATGACGTGAATGTCATGATATTTTCACGATTTATAAAGTTGTCTGGCAGGCGAACACCCCGGGGAAAGTGCTTAGCAATTGTATATTCTCTTTCATGATAGGATCCGATTGAACATAAGAAGATCAGCTTTTGTTGAAATGATGTTTTTGCCAGTTTTTTTTTTTTCGTACTTTCAACACCCAGTATCTCTTGAAAGCTCATCCAGTACTGAAGATTTTTAACCCCCAAAACGATTCCACCGAATAAGATATAACACCCATATAGAAAATATCAACCTTGTTGAAATGATGTAAGGTGGTCGCTGGCTTTCAGTCTATAGAGAACGATTTCTGAAATTCAATTGCCTATTCTGAAATACAATTGATGCTTTCTGAAATTCAATTGACGCTTTCTGAAATTCAAATGATACTTTCTGAAATACAATTGACACTCTCTGATATTCAATTGACTATTCTGAAATACAATTGATGCTTTCTGAAATTGAATTGATTATTCTGAAATACAATTGACGATTTCTGAAATGCAAGTGACTATTCTGAAATACAATTGACGCTTTCTGAAATACATCTGGAAAAGGTGTAGTTCGACCTTTGAGCTTACTTGACTATTCGAGGAGATGTAAATCTTCTGTCCTATCCTTCTTTCAACTCTCGTCTGTCTGTCTGTCCATAATGGAAAATACTTCAACCTGAAAAACTATAGTGTATTTCTTCCCTCTACGAAAAGTCTTCCTGTCTGTCCATTGTCGATCTAAATGAAAACCTAGTAGGCGACCTAGTGCGAGGAGGTATTATAGCTCCTGCCTACTAACTACCTAACTAGTTTGTCATCTAGAACGACAATGGTCTGTCAGTCAGGCACGATCCGTCCATGTAACATACTATACTCCTGATACTTGGAATAGAAAGCGTGAACTTTCTTTTTTATCTCAGCCTATTTTGAGCGTTATTTACTCTGATGGGGGAGATAGGAATCTCCTCCTCCACCCAATTAGAAATTTCTGCGTGATTTATATCACTGCATTAAACCAGCTCCCAGTGTCCTGTATCCATTGGTGAGCCTAATTGTGCGGGTTTTTGGGCCTGATCGTCCCCCCCCCCTTAACTGATTTGGTCTCACGACTTCTGTGTATAGACATCGCGTAATCTCGAGGTCATATAATAGTAGTCTATGAAAGTCTGGGGTCCAAAAGCACACCCAGATATTTGACCTGTTGGACTAAATTCTTCTCTTGGCCAAAGAAGGTAGGTGGTTTGTACCCGTTCATATTACTTTGGTAAGTCAACTGGATCACCTATCTGTTTCTGTCGGATTGACAGAGAGCCCTCTACAGCTTAACTACACAGGAGTTGTACATGACAAAGCACCATAGGTGCGGAGATAGGCAACTTCCTTAGGAAACCGTCCCTCAACTACTGTATTCAGATATTTGACCTATTGGATTGAATCCTTCTCTTAGCCAAACATGTTAGGTGGTTTGTACTCCACTTGACGAGCAACACTGTTCGCAAATTAGTCGATTATGACGTAGGCTTGAGTGGAGTGCTTGGCAATATTGCACGTTTGCCGTGTAACTTTCCGTTTCGGTGTTGCCAGTCCTTAGTCACAATCAAGGAACGGAGTGGAACGGAGTGGAACGGAGTGGAACGGAACGGAGTCACAACACAAACAAAACATGCACTGTTGCGAAACTGGAGGGAGTAATACTCAAGACTACGTCATAATGGGTGGGGGGTCCGCTTAGCATTGCGCTTATGGAAGCAGGCCATCCTCTAATGGTCTATCGTTCTTGGTTTGTACTCGTCCGTTTTCATTCGGTTGGTCAACAGGATCACTTCTATTTCTGTCGGATTGACAGAGAGCCATATAATATGTTCCATCACATAATAAATCCAACATGTTAAACTGCACTGGAGTTGAACCGTCAAACGGGGTTGAGTGAATAAAAAAATGCGTTTTTTATCGTATTTTCGACAAGTATTGAAACAAAAAATTTACAAAGAATAATGTAGGTCCGGGCACCCTTTTCGAATGGCTCAAGTCGAAAATAATTTTAAAAAATTAAGGGAAATGCCTCAATTTTTTTTGTGAAATCTGATTCACTTCACCCATCACTTTGGGGTAAAATGCATCAGGCATCGAAAACACTCGTAAACTCATATTGAAATGATCTGAGGTGAAGTGTATCAAAAGAAATTTGTTCTTATTTTTTTTTTGTTGTGGTTGCATTCTCATAATATATTACTATTTTCGGCATGCTGAGATTGAATCAAATTATTAGAAACTGATGATTACCTCATTCATAGTATAGCAAGATATAAACATAAACAATATCCAATAACAAAATATAAACCCCACTTTCATAGAAATTAGAATGATTCATTTTACCTATTATAGTGACCATTTCAGAGTAGAAAAAAATGCTGAAATTCAACTTAAAACATCTGGACAAGAATGTTATGAAATGTTTGTTTCAGTAATGACTATTGGACACATTTAGAGCATGTAAGTTTCATTTTACCCACTATGATTCACTCAACCTCGTTTGACGGTATACAGGGTGTCCGGAAATTATGCGCAAAAAATCAAGGGGGTGATTCTGCATGAGAAAACATGGAATTTATTTTTTATATACTTGAGTCCAGAAATGCATATTTTTCAAGATACAGTGTGTTAAACTTTTGAGAAAAAAATCGGTTTTTCATGAATATCTCGAATATTCTTTCACCAATTCTCTTGAAATTTGGTTATGATATTTTTCGTGATGAGGGGCTGATTTAGCCATTTTAAATTAGAACTGTAAAATCCAGTGGAGTCCCAGGGGCACCCTACCGAATATTTTTGTCAATAAAATGTGCGCCCCTGATTTTTTCAAATTCTCTATCTCCATATCCTAATGATTGACTAAAAATACAACATTTTTGTTTCTTGAATAGTTTTGCAATTTCGCTGCGTTTCCGTGGAAATAAATAAATACCAATTCATTGTATAAATTATTGCAAAACATCGCTTCACAAACAGGGGTGAAATTAAATGTGTTATCCATGTCCATAGACGTAGAATAAGAATTAGGATTCATTTTCTCCAAATATTCTATAATACATGTTTGACACACTTGGTATTATCGAAAACTATACGCCTTCCTGGACCGAGAATACATAGTTCTCAATATACAGAGTGTTGAGTGTGTCAAACATGTATCAAGGAATATCTGAAGAAAATGAATCTTCATACTTATTCTCTATTTATGAACATTGATGCCGCATTTATTTTCACCTCAGTTTTTGGAGGAATTTTTTGGCACAAATTTACGCAATAAATTGGTGATTATTTTTTTCCATGCAAATGAAGCAAATTATCAAAATAATTCAAGAGACCAAAATATCGTATTTTTAGTTGGTCAATAGGTTATTAAGATACAGAATTCAAAAAAATCAGTGGCGCACATTTTATTGACAATAATATCCGGTAGGTTGCCCCCCGGGACTCCACTGGATTTTGTAATTCCAATTGAATTATGACTATATCAGCCCCTCATCAAAACAGTTTTAATCTTCTCCTGAAGATGCTAACATACTTAGCGAAACACGTGTCGAGGCGTTAAAAACTCGGTTTGGTTAGTGGTCAAATAACAGTGTAAAGTATTTGAGATATTATTAAAAACCGATCTTGTTTAAAAGTTTTGACACACTGTATATTGAAAACTATCTCCGGACCCACGTACATATGGAAAGAATTTCTCATTTCATCTTGTAGAATCACCCCCTATCTTTTGCGCATAATTTTCAGACACCCTGTATACATGTGTAGATCCAATTGATATAACTAATGACAAGAAACTATATTTTATATTGACTGCTGAATCTATCAACATGACATATCAGCAAACGTTGAAACTATACAGAGTATGATATATGTAAGTTCACCACATTACTCCCCCCCTAGTGTCAACGGCTAACTGAAATGTAACAACTTTCTTAAGCTTGATAGGCTCTTGTAGCTTGTCCTTCATAACTTCAGGAACTTACATATATCATACTCTGTATAGTTTTAACGTTTGCTGATATGTCATGTTGATAGATTCAGCAGTCAATAAAATATAGTTTCTTGTCATTAGTTATATCAATTGGATCTACAAATTGGTGACCCCGACGTGATAAAATATACAGAGTATGATATATGTAAGTTCACCACACATGACAAAGCTCCACAGGTGAGGTGATAGGTTACTTTCTTAGGAAACCGTCTCTCAACTATTCTGTAGTCAGGTTAGAGTCTCCTTATTGAGCTACTTTTACATTTCTACTGGTCAGCGAAGATCCAACACAGCTGACCATTGTGAAGGGATTTCCCCTGACACGTCTATACACAGTAATCAGTAATTTTACTTTCAAAGCGACAGTGGGAATTTCGCTAATAAGAATTATACAAAACGAGACGAAAATGCAACCTATGAACGCAGTTTTGAATACACAGCAATGCAAGTCATAAAAGAACAATTTTCGAGTAGCAATCTCAATCTCAATGAGCGTCTAGAACGAACCATCCTGCATTTACGTCAAAACATTTTTTATAGCTTTATTTTAATGGATTTTGTGTTCTATCATGTTCCACATCAGAGCATAACTCAATGAATTGGTATAACAAATATACATTCCTATCACTAAATTGATGAATTCATAATTGAGTTTATGACAAAATCTATCGCTCTGAAAAAATTTAATAGATAATATGTTAATTAATGATGAAATGAATGAAAAATCATGAATATGGAATGAAATTCTCACTTCGACAATATGAATTCAAACTAGGTAGATATCGAAGAATATAAATTATTATTCAGAATAATCTAAAACAGTTGGAGATATGTAAAAATATACTTATATGAATTTTGGCAGGAATAATGGTTTTCCGGACTCAAACTTTGTAATCCAAATGAGCTCCTGAGTCCTAATGACTGTTAATATTATAAATCATGTCGAACTCTCATCGCTGAAATTCCTTCTCAATGCACTTCGCTATGGTACTCAATTGCATATTATATGTCCCCTCATATATACTGCCAATCTTCACATCCCTATAGAATTTTTCCTGCATCAGATCTTTGCTGAATCCTATTCCGCCCATCCAATCTATGCACTTGATGCATGTTTGTTGAGCAACTTCAGCAGTGTAGTATTTTGCCATTGCTGCTTCTTTCACGAATGGTATCCCAGCTTCCACCTGTCGAGCCGCGTTATAGGTGAGTAGTCGAGCACATTCCAGTTGGGTAGCTATCTGTGAGATTTGATGTTGCATGCTCTGCAAAAGATAATACATCTTCATCACGAACGGTTTGTTCAGCGATAATTGAAAAAGGGAATATACCTTTATACAGTGTCAAAAGTCTGGCAACGGTCTCATATTCCAGAAACGGCCCATAAGAACCCAGGAAAACAGATGACGTTTTAGTTACGTCTTTTTACGTCAGTTGAATGACCAAGGTGACGTCAGGAGTTGACGTCGCACAACCCAATGACGTATATATTGCTCACGTTTATTGACGCCATCCACTCACCAAACTGTGACGTCGGACTGACGTCGAAATGACGTCAAAATGACGTTCAAATTTGGTGATGATACGTAAAAGAGTTTCCTCAAACATGGTGTGGTAAACACCAACGACCTTTGATGATATATAATATTGATTATGCATTGTTGAGTCTGCTTGGTGTTCCCTCCGGTGTCATGTCCATTCAATCGTCTATTCAGTAGCGGTATATCCTTCAGTACGTATCTCTATCAGAATGGAATCTTTTACTCGTATTTGTATAAAAAATTATGTAGTTTGTGTCGGCGAGATGTAAGCAAACCGAGAATAGTTTGATAGCAATGAAAAGTATGTTGGTGAATTTAGCTCCACTTTGTTGAGTAACGTATATTCATGCATTCTTTGTCACCCAACAAAAATCTAAATAGCGATTTATTGGAAACGAACCGACGTGATTTTTAGACGTCATATATACGTCACTGCAACGTCTAAATGTGACGGTTTCAATAGGTACACCCATATTTCCATTTATAAGTAGGTATACAAATACAGCTTGATTGGTTTCCGAGATATACAGGGTGTCATAGTTTAAAAAAAGTGTTCTCCTACTTTTTGGGTATATTTAATTCCAATAAAACTTGCATGTTGATTTGGTTCAATGAGATATACTTCTATTAACGTCAGTAGCATATATATGAAATCACCATATATATGTGTGTAAAATTTATGAAAAAACGAGTTTTTCTGAAAACTTTTCGACACTGAAAATGATCATCCTGTATGAATAGGTACGTTACAAACGGTTCCACATAATAATGTGAGTATGCGTGGCTTAGATCGAGATGGTCTGGGAAAAATGCAACGTCATGAAACTGACGTCCTATTTTACCTATTTGAGTGACCTTCACTCGACGTCGAGAAGATGACGTGATTATCACGTCATAGAAAGTACGTCATAGTGACGTCATAAATTGGTGTGTGACTTCTCTGACGGAAAATCACCAATTAGAGACGTCACAGTGACGTGATCATTCGTCATCTGGTTGCTTTGGAAACTCAGGATGGATTTTGATGTTCGAAGAAATGGAGTAACCTTCATTATCTGAAAGACTGTTGATTTGGCAAACATTGCCAATATCACCATAGAATTGGGCATCATCAAAAATCATTCTGTTTAGAATCTCATGAATTTTCTCCGAGCCTTTTTGAAAATATTGGACCGTTCAATATCTGTAAAGCTGTTTTGATTGGGCAACATTACCACTTCAACCATCAAATTGAGCATTATCTTACCATCCAGCATGGAATTTCATGAATTTTCTCCGAGCCGTTCCTGAGATATGAGACCGTTCCCAGACTTTTGAATGACCCTGTATGTATGGTTCACTGAAACGTATAATAGAACTGTAGATCTCATCAGATCTAGGACGACCACAGTTGCCCCAGGTGAGCAAGAGTGAGGCACTAATGTTTTTGGCAAATAGTCATCATCAGTTGCACCCGGTCTGCTGATAATAATTGACGACGATTCATCGCTTAAATAATTTATTTGCAATAGTTATTTGGTTTACTAGGCAGAAAAGTAGTAGATTGATTGCCGCGGCCAAGGCAGTCAATCTACATTTACTGCCGTGTGAAACATATAATTTTTCCTCCAAATGTTATGAAACCCATTTGGTGAAGATTTTTTGTCGAAAACTCCACTATTTTTTGTTCACCCAATGTCAGTGTCAATTTTGATTACCAATTTTATTAGATTTTCTCGAAATGTTGCATAGCAACAATTTTTTTTTGCCTAGGCTGTAAAAGTACACCTTTGATGCCTGTTAAGTGTCAGAGAAAAGCCACTTTTCCTGCCGCTTGGCGGAAAAAATATTTGTTTACCTAAAAAGATTTTCGAAACGTTGTGTTTGTCAGTCAATTTGTACCTCAGTTCCTTGAATTAGTCATCGTATCTAGATTGAAAATAGGATTTTTCTTTAAAGGAGATAGTAACTAATATTTTTGGACTGTAGATGAGATGATTCAAGGACCTGTTTTTTATCACAAACCCAATGCTTTGGATATTCTTATGGAAACAGATTTTTCCCAAAAAAAAAATTGTTGTAGCCACTCTTCAAATCTACACATTTTCGAGAAAAATATCGAAGAAAAATATCGATATGCGGTTTCAGCATTAAGTTTGTCATGAGCGTTGAGTCTCAGGTACCGACATAAGTTTCCTCCTTTCTGGATCGAAAATAGCTTCACCTATAAAAGTATCCAATTTGGCCCACCCTGTACATTCAATATATATGTATATATGTGTGTCATTTGAGTACCTTCCTCATCTGATCATGATGATCTGATGATCATGATGATATTATAATATACTGCGTTTGGAATTTGATAGAAGAGAGACAGGGCCATCGATATGGCTGATGCATGAGGTATAGGATTTCTAGTCAAATTGGTGATTGTTTGATTATTTCCACGTACAGGCGTGATCTAGTTGAGTATAGGTATAGATACTCATTGGATTTTTGTAGATACCTCACTGAATTCTATCAAATTGTGAAAATGTAACTGAAGTCTGCCGAAGAGTTTTCATTAATGCTTTTGGGAACTTCATGAAATATGTTTCATCGTCACCCCCTGAATTTGTTCGTCTCACTTCATGAAACTGTACCTGGAATGAGAAAATTGGCTGTCCAAATTGTTTTCTCTCGAGGGTGTATGGTATGGTGGCATCAAAGCAACCTTGTGCCAATCCCAGCATTTGAGCCGCTATTCCAATTCTTCCCTCGTTCAGGAATCCGGCTGCTATTTTGTAACCTTGACCAACTTCACCGAGAATGGAACTTTCTGGGACACGTACGTTGTCGAGGTTGACCATGCAAGTACCAGAAGCACACATTCCCAGTTTCTTTTCCGGTGTGGCGACGCTGAATCCGGGCATGTTTCTGTCTACAATGAAGCACGTGATTCCTTTGTATCCCTGAAAAAAACTTAAATGAAGATCTCCTCTACAAATTCCAATTTACGCCCGTGGTAGGAAAATAGCTATAATATATATACACAGGGTGATTTCTCACTGCTACCGAATGTACTGGGTCGTTGAGCAAATATCTGAGGTACAGGGCCCCAATTTAAATGATAATACCTGTTCACTGTATTTTCAATTTAATTTAAAACTATAAACACGTTCCATTAACCAAATTATGTACAAACGCCTGAATCAATTCAAACAAAACTCAAATTTTTTTGCGAAAATCAACATGGATTCACAACAGGAAGGTCAACAGTTTCTGTTATGCATTCAATGACCAAAGAAATAATTTCTTGCATAGATCAAAATATTCCTGTGGTGGGTTTATCGTGTGATTTTCGCAAAGCCTTCGACAGCGTTGACTTTGAACTAATCTTACAGAAGCTAGAGCACTATGGAGTGAGAGATGTAAGTTTGAATTGCTTTAAGTCTCACCTCATTGGGAAAAGTCAGCGTGTGAGGGTGACTCATGGCGGTTTTTAAATGTACAGTATCTGATTGGGAAACAACATTATCAGGTGTGCCACGAGGATCTGTGTTACGTCCATTATATTGTTCTTGCTATATATAAATGACCTCCCAGCAAGCGTTCCTCAAGCAAGTACTATATTATTCGCAGACGATTCTTCCACGGTTGTCAAAGACAAAAATGTCGGAGTATTAATTGATAAGGTGCATGGCACCCTCATGCAAATAGAAGATTGGTGCAAAGTTGGTCAGATTAAAATGAATTACGAAAAACCAAAATGTATTACTTTTGGTCGAAGAGCTAATACACAAAATTTTCAAAATTTTGGCAATGAAGTGTCATTTGTCACAAATTTAAAATCTCTTTGCTTTATATTGGATACAGCACTGAACTGGAATGAACATACTAATAAACTTAGCAAAAAATTGCGAAGCACCTGCTTCGGTTTACGAATCCTGGAATCAAAAAGTATTGATAGCAAAGAACTAAAAATTATTTATTAAGCCAATTTTGTATGTCCAAATAATGCTTGGCCTCAGAATACGAGAATCCTGTCGCCCACATTTTGAAGCTCGTTTCCTCCTCTAACCAAGAAAGATGGAACACTAGCCATCACTGCCCAGGAGAAAGCCAACATTATTGCGCATTTATTTGTTGGAAATTCCACTCTGGATTCATAGGAAAAATAACCTCCAAACATAACGCCAATTGACTGTCATATACTCGGGATCACCTTTCGCCAACGTCCTATAAGGAAGATTTTATTGGGTCTCAACACCAACAAAGCTTATGGCTCCGACGGAATCCAACCGATTGTTCTCAAGAAATGTGCTCCCGAACTAACACCTGCTCTCTGCAAGTTGTTCAACTACTCTTATAAATTGGGGATATTTCATTCCAACTGGAAAATTGCAAGAGTACAACCAGTTCCTAAAATAGGCAAAAAGACCCTACCTAGCAACTACAGACCGATCGCACTGCTATCTATTATTTCAAAGATCATGGAGAAAGCTATCAACATCGATCAATATGGCTTTCGTCATCAGGGGTCAACTGGTGACCTGCTCGCCTACGTCTCACATATATGGCAGCAATCTATTGAAAAATATATTGAAACCTTAGCTGTGGCACTTATTGATATCTCCAAAGCATTCGATCGAGTCTGGCACCACGGACGCCTCGTCAAACTTCCATCTTATGGCTTGTCTCCCCAGCTATGTTCTCTGCTAGCTAGTTTTCTCTCAAACAGGTCACTCCATGTAGTGGTCGACGGAGTTCCATCTGACTCTCTTATCATAAATGCTGGTGTTCCGCAAGGATCAATTCTAGCATCAACACTATTTCTACTAACTAACTACTAACACAGCGTCTCGGATGATAGTATCCTCCATACTGCCTTCTCTTCCAGGGCTCTGATTCCAGCCAGGCGAATCAGAAACGAACAAGGGAGAAATGTTGACAACATAAATATGGACTTAGCAACAATTCCAGAATGGGGATCCAATAACTTGGTAGATTTTAATGCAAATAAAACACAAGCATGCCTTTTCTCTAGAAAAGCCGATCTCACTGTGCCCAACATAAGCATGTCAGGAGTAACCATACCTTTGAAGACATCCATTTCGATGCTTGGGATTACTATCAGCAATAACCCATCTAGGGAAAATCACGTGAGATCAATTGCTAAAAGTGCATCCCAAAAACTTGGTTTTCTGTTTCGGGCCAGGAGCTATTTCACTTCCAGTCAGCTGCTCATGATCTATATTTGAGATCCATCATTCAATCGTTATCAGATGGCATAATATCTATCTCATTATCAAATTACGAAAATGAGTGCAAATTAACGCACAGGAATGTGCAAGTTTTTAATCATCTTGCTCAGGATAGTGATTGGCACAGATGCCGTTCCGTGAAATACAATGTTATTTCATGCCTTCGAATCGATGCTTCGAGACATATATCATTTCGTTATCAAATGACGGTCGAAATTTGCAGCCGGCTCTCTTATTATCATTGAAGTAGTAGAATATAAAGTAATTGAATCAGTTATTCCTGATGAAATTGAAATAAACGTCAAATAATCGTTTGAAAAATTCGAATGTCGGTGGATGATCTTTTTCGCATACCAATAAACGATTATACATTTTTTTCAATAATTTGTTATTTGAGGGAGGCGGAAAAATCATCTGTATAACATGGGTGTAAGGGACCTTTCATTTCCTCGAATGATTACTTTCCTATCCCTTATTGTTACACAAATAGCTATTGAATTGACTCGGCTGTAACTTCCATAGTAAATGGTAAGATCTTCACAAACGATAAAATTTACACGAGTTCTTAATCACACGACATGTTTCGCTAACACTGTAGCTTCTTCAGGTGGAATACTGGTACAATAAACTGGAAATCTTATCGATTGTGAAGTTTTCTACATCAAGATATACAGTCTGTCCAAGATAAAGTTGAACAGCATGGGGATCTCGGAAACGGTAGGAGATACGAAGTCGCTTAAATAGGGAAAAAGTTGCGCATTCGGAGGCTCATATCAAGAGCCTTCGAAAATTTTGAAAATTATTTTCAGTTTTTGAGTTATATCGAAAAAAGTGAATTTTTGGAATTTCTATTTTATTTTTTTTCTCCGTTATTATCAGAGATACAGAAAAACTGAAAATACTTTTTCATTGCAACTTTTGATGAGGTTTAACGTGGTGATACCGACTTTTTCATGCGACGTTTCGTATTCGTGGAACCATCATCAACTTTTGTTTTTTAAATACGGTCCTGATAATTTTTTCACAGATTCTGAAAGGTTTTTTTATTCTGAATTCAACAATGTACTATACAAGGTGATTCGAATGTGTTTCGACCTATTTCTATTCATCATCAATGTTTTTTCGAACTTCCAAAAGAAAAAAGCCATCAGTTCCACTTATTCCTGATCATTTAGTGTCAAACTTGATGGATTAGTTATTCAATACTGAAAAGTGAATAAAAAATATTTCACTACATCATTCGATCAATGCAGCGTTTAAAATTGTTGATGAATTCTTACACGAATTACTTTAACAACTTAACTTTGACAATACCTACAGAGACATTCATAACAAATGTTCAAAATGATAACCATTATTTTCTGAACAAAGATATCCTCTTCTCACAGTTGCTTCTAAGACATTGCTAAGCATTTCTGGGGTTATCCTATTGAATGCTTCGAGGACACTGTCCCTTAGTTCTTCTTCATCATCAAAGTTATTTGCGTGTACAAATTTCGATATATCCCCTAAGAAAAAATCCAGCTGTGTCAAATCAGGCGACCGCGTCGGCCAAGGGATAAAAACGCATGGACTTCTCTGGAATTATGTACCGGAGCGCCATCTTGTTGAAACCAACAGTTCTGAACTTCCGCAATCGGTAAATCATCCAGAGCTTCCTCAAGATGATTCTCAAGCGAATTTCTATAACGTTCGGGAGTCTGTGTTTCATGGTAAATAGAAGGAACAATAATTCGTGTACCAAATATTGCAACCCACATATTAAAGCCGAAACGGTGTTGGTGTCTCGCTGTAATGTATAAATGTTCATTTTCTCGTGAACAATAATGTGTATTTTTTCTATCGAAGCTACCATGATTAGTGACCATGCTTTCATCAGTCCAGATGATTGTTCGAAAGAAATCTGCAAAATTTCAACATTTCCTGGTATACCACTCACAGAATGTCTTGCGCCTTTCGTCATCGTCTGGTTTTAGCGCTTGACATATTCTGAATTTGTATGGATGGAATTTTTGTTTCCGCAAAATGAAATGGGTTGTTGATTGAAACCAGTTGATGAGGTATTAGTGTGTTGACTAATTTTCCTTCAAAATAAGTGGAACTGATGGCATTTTTCCTTTGGAGTTTCGAAAAAACATTGATGACCAAAAATAGGTCGAAACACAAATGAACCACCTTGTATAATACATGGTTGAATTCAGAATAAAAAAACCTTTTAGATTCTGTGAAAAAATTATCAGGACCCTATTCAAAAAACAAAAGTTGATGATGGTTCCACAAATACGAAACGTCGCATGAAAAAATCGGTATCACCACGTAGACCGTCATCAAAAGTTGCTATGAAAAAGTATTCTCAGTTTTGCTGTATCCCTAATAATAACTGAGAAAAAAAATAAAATAGAAATTCCAAAAATTCACTTTTTTCGATATAACTCAAAAACTAAAAATAATTTTCAAAACTTTCGAAGGCTCTTGATATGAGCCTCCGAATGCGCAACTTTTTCCCCATTTAACCGATTTCGTATCTCTTACCGTTTTCGAGATCCCCATGCTGTTCAACCTTATCTTGGACAGACTGTATAGACATAGTATTACCTTTCAATAGGAATACTGATCGAAATCACGTCCGAAAATATGTCACTACCTGCTGGTCTATTATGAATTGTAGGAAATGGAACGTGCTGTGAATAATAAGTTAATTTCTTATGTCTTTTTCGATCAAATTTCAACGTTGAAGTTTTCAACCAGTAACGTTATTGCCTCGATTTCAACCGTTGTTCAACGTTTTCCAAATGGGTACATATGTGTTTTCTAGGCATTTGTTCAAAATATATGTTTTGATGAACCTTTCAGAGGTACAGAAATGCATTTCCAAGTTATAGTGACTTTCAGTGGAAGGTAATTCTATTTCCTCCTCTACCTGCTTTATAGCTGTATATGGAATGTGATTTGAACATGTGATGTACATATATGTAAAAGATTGGTGTGATTCTAATAAGCTATCCTTCAATATATAAAGAACTAACATTTTCACTTTCAAATGTACCCTACAACCTACAAGAACTTCATATAGGAAATCAAGTGATCAGCTATATGTCAGAAACAAAATCTCTGATCTTACACATTGATGATAAATTGAAATTAAAAAATCACTTCGAAAAACTAAGAAGTAAACTAGCATCATGATGTTTTGCATTAAGAACCACTCCCATGAAGTGGTTCTTGGTGAAGATATGGCAAAAAGTGTGTATTATGCTTTAATCGATTCTCATCTGAGAGATTTGTTTTTGGGGATCATGTAGTCTTTTTTCAATAAGATTTCTGTTCTGCAAAAAAGAGCTATGAAGTATATGTGCAAAGATAAATTTCGGGATTCTTGCAGGCCACTCTTTATGAAACATCAAATTTTACCACTACCATGAATATTTATCTTAGAGACAGTATGTCTCATGCATAGCAAATTTAAAAACGAAATCCATAAGATAAGTCAATATAACACTAGACAAACACTGAACATTACCAATTTTTACATCGACACGAATAAAAAATTCCATACAAATTATCAAATCACCTTCCCAAGGGGATTGGAATCATATGTAGTGAAAGTCAATTCAAACATTCTGTGAAACATCTTCAACTGACGAATGCTTTCTACTCATTAAATGAATTCTACTGTCAGAACTTTCAGTATTGTGGAGTTTGTCGTCTGGTCCTATAGTTATACGGTAATCAATTTTGATTTTGATTTGATTTGATGTGTTTTAGTGGTTTTCATTCATTATTTTCAACTTTATTTACTTGTTTTTATATTTTAATTTACACATGTTTGTTGTTAATGTATTTTAGTGATTATGATTAGTGCTATATGAATGCGTACAAAGCAATTTTTTATTGAGATGATTTTATTATTTATTCTGTAGTTTTATTTTATATTTTCACAATTTCCTATTAATGAGTTTTAATGGTTAAATCAGTATTATAAATGTTTACAACGCAATTTTATTGTGATAATTTCATTACTTCTTTTTGTACTTGTATTTTATATTTATTCATGCTTGTTGTTGTCGATCCATACGGTGAAAATATTGTACCAAATTTTATTTAATGACCTTTTTCCTATCGTGTACTATTTATAAATACTATTCAGTTTTTTATCTGATTATTTATCATATCTTCTTTATTTGTAAATGACTTTGTCAATAAGAATTACGTTCTTCAGACAATAAAGTATATTTTGATTTGATTTGATACATCGATGAGCGATTCGCAACAATATACAATCTTAGAAATTGTACTTACAGCTGAGGGATCCACATTGGCCATGACTAGGAAGATACCAGCTATATCAGCATTCGATATCCACATCTTGGATCCATTCAAAATATAGTCAGATCCATCTTTTCTGGCTGTGGTTTTCAAAGCGAATGCATCAGAACCAGAACTTGCTTCTGTTAATGCAAAACTGCTGACCTATAGAAGAAAATAGTTTCTCATGATTTGTACACTCGACTTTAGAAAACATTTCACACATTGACGATGTCAGCTCTCTTAATTGATCACCGCTGCAATAAGAGCGCTCATATCGTCCAACCGCGACATGTTCTCTGAAGACGAGTGTACACACATATGTAATAACATATGAAGAATGATGAATACGAACATTTCTCAATATTTTCAGAATCCCCGAAGTATTGTTTCAATTTATTTCTGGGCAATTTATTTTTTGACGTCATAGCAATCCTAAAAGTTTGAAATGAAATTGTTGAAAATTTCATGATGGAAAAACCAATGACCTTGAACCGGTTCCCACGATATTCTGAATATTCGAGATAATTCTGTCGTTTCATTGGTCATGAAATTGTGTTGCCGAGCAACACCACAAGTCCGTCAGGACTATTGGTATTGCCGTACGGCAACATAATTGAGTTAACAATGAAACACAGAATTATGAGAAGATAGTCAGAACAGAGTATTTTGTTAGACTATTTCACGTTCACGAAGCATGAAAAACATATATTATAAATGAGTGATTCATTCTGACAAGTACAGCAATAATTATTTTATGCCAAACTGACAGACTATGCTTCGCTATCCATGGTTACATCTAGACTAAGCTTCCCTATCCATGGTTACATCCAGACTTAGCTTCCCTATCCATGGTTACATCGTTGAAGACATAATTGGAAGACAGCTAATGTTTTCGCGATAAGGACACGTTGTTTCTCGCTTGTGATTGGTTAGATTATGTGATGAGTGCAATAGTCACAAAAATCGCTTCGAATTTTACAAGGATAATAATCAATTTTCAATTCTATCCTTTCATATTGTCTCTATGATATCACAATTAATACAGCTAATTTCGTTTATTTCTGACTTTTCAAGCGTGTCCATTTTATTTTTTGGATTGCCTAATGAATTGCCTGATCTTGACCCCGACTGATGAACGCTTTCAAATCATAAGTTTTTGAAAACCTCCTTTCGTATACTTGGGATTGAACCTTCTGGGATATTTTCCTCGAATTGCTTTTATCCACTCATCAAGTCGTAGAATTTATGTCTATATAAGTATTAATGTATCTACTATTTCAATATCATTACCATTGACGCCAGCCACTTTCAAAACAACACTGCTTTCAACATCGAATCGTTCTTCGCTAAGAGGAAATGAAACCAATCTATGTACTAGAAAATTCAAACTTGCCACCTTGTGTTTAAAACAGTGATTGCAGTCATAAGTTTTGAGTGCCTGTATTAGTTTTCTAAAACCATCAAATTTTAAGTTGTTTTCGTCATTTTTTATCACAATAACATCTAACAACGGTAATTCACTGTTATTTTCGCATTCAAAAGTTAATTTGATAGAGGGGAAGCAATTATTCAATTTTGAAACAAAGTTATCTATATCTGTTGTTTTCGTATGAAAAATAGCAAAAATATCGTCGACATATCTAATATATACAGGGAAATACTCGAATTTTTCTTTTGCGTTCTCTTCAAACCGATTCTTGAACAGTTCAGCTAAGGAACAATTTGCCATAGCTGTACCATCGATGATTGCTATTTGCAACGAATAGTTTATAAAAACAAGAAAAAAGTGTTGGGTGTAGAATGTGAACCATTTCAACTTTTTCAACCTTTAGAACGCATTTTCAGACCAATGTTAACAGTAACTCTTTCAATATTTTCACCTAGGGAATTTTGGAACCCCCTGTGGAATACTTACTGTGTCGGTCGCTAATCTAGGTAAGTACGTTTCTTTCTGGTCTTTTGTTCCTAATTTAATTATCACAGCATTTATGAGAGTATTTTGGATATCGATCGGTACCGTAACAGCAGGATCAACTTTGGCTAGTTCTTCTATAACAAGGATGGTTGTCATGAAATTACACCCAGCTCCACCGTATTCTGGATCTATTTCCATACCATAAAACTGAAAAAATAAGATACCTACATAATACCGATAATATAGAAGTGGTCAAAGAATAAAGAGGAAGATTTCGACTGTATGAAAAAAATCTAGTCATGTCATTCCTACGTAATACAAGGTGTTTTCGAAATACGTGCACATATCTAGCACATCAATATGATACAGTCCAAGGAATATTCTATTTCTTCTATATAGACGAGAAATGCCATCCCAAAAACTGAACAAACCACGAGAAAAAATCGAGTACGCCACTTCAAAACAACTTAAATGATTGAACTCCGCATGAAAATATGAACAGAGATGACGTCAGATTTGCTGCACTTTGGGTTGAAAAAGAGTCTAACCTCAAATTTTATTTTGATCCCAGAATATTCTTCATTTACGCCATTCGATAGTAAACGTCGAGTTCTCTCATAGTCCGAAATATCTGCACTTATTTCAATGCCACCCTGTATATTGAAATCATGAAAATTTTTTGAGAGGTCGAATGAAATCAGCTCTGAGTTGATTAAATAAATCCCCCAAGGAATGGAATGTACTTGAAATACTTTGGAAGGAATTAGTCTTTTTAATTTTTCACATACAGTCTAGAACAACATGATATTTTAGGAACATTCTGACACTATCATCAGTTTTCTTCGGACCATCATATCAGTTGGTTATCATTAATTATTTTGATATTCAAATCCATTGACATTGACATTAACCTCATCGAGGTTCTTATCAAGGTATGAATATGGTACTAAACAAATGCAATCGCCTTGATATCTGCTCACAAATAAAATACACTGAAATGCACTATGGTTCCGAGCTAGAGAAAACTGTAACACATAATCCACCGAACCAGAACAGTTTAGAACTTGGCAATATGCCAGAAACATGGAAACGGGTAAGAGTCACTATCGTTTCAAAGGTAGGAAAACACCTAAAATCCATTCAACCAATCATTCCTGTTGAAGACGATGGAAAGAGCTGCGTACATAGCTTATTCTATGAGAACAAAAATTCTTGAGATGATGCCACGACTATACCACAGATTAACAAATCTGTTAATCTGTGACAATACCCACATTACCTATACCTCCTTCCCCTATCCTCCCTAGGCATGCACGATGTTCTTCCAACAATATAGGAAATTCCTATCGTGCGCTCCAAGAGATGAAAAAGCATGTGCATCAAGAAAAAAATCCAGAACGCACTAGTACAGCTGATTGATAACATTCAGGATGCATTGAAATACGAAGAAACTTCAGCATGTGCCCCATATGGACCTGTTGAAAGAGTAGGTACCTACTGTACTAATGCGGTGATACAGCATCTCACTGGTCACTGGATTACTCAAGTGAGTATATCTCATCAAGGCAACGTCGACAAAATAGTCATTCTTATAAGGGCCTCTGCAAAGATGACGAAAGTATACAAATGAATGTCATTCGATATTCACCTATACAGAAACCACCCTTCTAGTCTTTCTCAGGCAAACAAATGACGTTACATTGACGTTTTTTACGTTCTCGTCAGCAATCTCCGTCAGAGTAAGAGTCAGAGATCAGCTATTCGAATTTGTATTCAATGAGTAGAGAGGTGGGCGGACCAAAATTAGTACGGAGATAGTACCAATGCATGTTGGTGTATATAGAGCTTCACTGTGGTTAAAATAGTATATTCATGTATTTTTGATTAGGTACTCCCATATTTGGAGTGCAGCACCCAAACATACCCTGGAACTGTTGGATTCTGTCTAAAAAAGGGCAATTAGTCTCGTGGGTGATGCCTCGCTCACAAACTCATTCACTTCTCACCTTAGAAAAGTTGGCGATCTAGCACTATTTTATAAATAATTGCATGGACGAAGCTCTTCTGAAATATCAACAATTGTTCCTCCCTTGGCAGTCTCCGCGAGACTAACCCCCCAGGTTGAGGCTTTGCACCCCTTCGTGGTCACTTTGGAGACCTGCAGAACATCTCTTTCCAAAGACTTGTTCATTCAACGAACAGCGAGGCTCTGGAACACATTGCCAAGGGAGGTGTTCCCTGAGGGACATAACGTCCAGAAATTTAAGAAGAACACCAATTCCTACCTTATTTCCGTTGGTTCTCACGATGTTCTCTGAACATCACAGGATATCCCTTTTCGTGGGAACCAGAACATAAAAAAATATAACATTATTAACAAATTCTTTGAATGAGACCACTACCAAATTGGTACATCATATATCGACGTGATCTTTAGATGTCGTTGATACGTTCTCAGTACCTTTATTAATGACGTATAATCGCGGATGTTATAACGTCGTGATTATCACGTCACAGTGACTTCACTGATGGTGTGACGTTATATTGTCTGAGTTTCACTGAATTAGTACATAACACCGACGTAATACCCAATCTATCATTATATGCCTGGAATACGAAGGAGAAAAAATTCAACAATACTCTAAAAATTCAGGGAATGAATATATAATTGAAGCAAGAGGAGGAATACTTGGGCCTCCTATTAAACAAGAACTCGTTTGAGTCAGGCACAAATGAAATATGATATACAAATACATCGCAAGACAAAGTTGGGGATATATCCACTCTGAGAACTCTAAGGATAATGTACCCGTTAATAGTGATACCACTTTCGGAAATAGAATCAGTCGCTCTGGTTATCACGAAAACCAACTTCTGGATAATTCAAAAACTATATTGTAGGTATAGGAATATAAAGAGGTTGTGTATGAACTATACACCAGGGCAATAAAACGTGTACCATACTCAAAATAGAGGTAATTATAGATCTCAAACCTCTTTTGAACTCGATGAAGAATGTGACAAAGAGAGAAAAATTTCATATATTTCGAGTTGAGAGCGATTCAGAGAAGGTACACGCTTCATTTTGACTCTTCAGAGCGGTTTCGTAGTAAACTATAGTGCATGCATACCCCATTTTCAAAGCACATTTTGGTAATAGACTCCTTGAATCTCCCCTCGTTTTCCATTTCTCTGACGTAGGGGGCAATTTGTTCTTGAGCTAATCTGGCAACTGAAATAATAGAGGTAGAACATTTTGAAAAAAGGTTTGTCAAGTTGATACAATATTCAATATTAACATTTTTTATACAGATTGGGAGGATTGTCGAAGTTCATTTTGCCTGCGAATAAAACCTACACAAACGTTTTATATGATGTATGATGCCCTATGCCTAGAATCCAGAGTAATGTGAATTGGTCAAAAAGTTCTCATTCAAATTGCTTTGAATGATATATATATATATACCAGTTTCGATATATTCTGAAATTGAATTGGATATACCTTATTATTAATAATAATGCATTCCACAGTTATGAAATATTATGAGACATTCTGAAATCTGAACTGAATTGACGAACTCATATTCCTCTGTAGAATCAAGAAGTTCTTGGAGTTTTGATGGTTTCTTTGAATAATGTACTTTTGACGTTGTCCTCGATGTGGTAGGTATTTCAAGCAAAAAGTTGTTCCATCCTGTACACAAGATATGTAACCTACAATCTTTATCTCACTGCTTCCACAATATATTTCATTTCCATGTCTTACCGAAACAATTTTCATAAAAACAAGAGCTCATCGAGGACGGTATAAATTTCAAGTAATGACTTGATTAAGAATAACAATGATGAAAATAAGTAGAAGAATAACAATATAGCATAAGCCACATATAGTGGTGCCCGCGACTCGAGACGAGACTTTTATTGGTCTCGTCTCGAGTCTAGACTTCTCGTGTCTCGTGAATGACTACCTGAAAATCTATAAATAAGTCATTCTGTGCTAAATAGTCTAAGATAAAGAATAACTTTGTTTTGACGGGAGTATGGATGCAGGAGCTTCAAAAATATTTTTCTGTGCCTCGGTGTAATAAAAACACAGATAAATTGCAATGGTCGAAAATTCATGCTTCTGAATTTCCCATTCTAAATTTGATGGCACGAGATCTCTTAAACATACCGGCTACTTCAGTTGTCTTGTTTAGATGCATGATGTAAGTATGTACGTATAAAAGGTATTTACTTTCCAATAAATAATGTCATTTTTGTTGTAAATTTGTCTTCCTACTTCTACATTATACCTAGTAGACTGGAACAATATTATGCATGACGAAATTGTGATACATCTGCGAGACTCTCGTACGAGACGCGAGACAAGACGAGACTGGAGGCTACGAGACGAGACTCGAGACAAGACTTCATATTTCATCGACGAGACGAGACTTTATGAAAGTCTCGTCTCGTTGGTCTCGTGTGAATCACTAGCCACATAAATGGAACTGATTCACGATTTGAACAAGTTGACGTCTACTTCCGGTTCAACAAAATAAGTGTAATACAGCACATTCAATGGATGTCCATATCGCAGGTCCAAGCAATTAAGGTTCGGAAGTCCATATGGGATGAACCTGAATGCCTATCTAATGGATAACCCTCAACAACCTTTCCAATTGATATCCATATTATACCTAGAGAACTGATGTAATCGTCAGCTCCTTTGTGTTGGTCTGTATTCCTTCGCTTGAGACGTCGGCGTTTGCTAATATAGTAATAAAGAAGTTTTTTCCACCCCCAGCTTTAAAACCTACCATTATTTACTTCTTTTCGGGGCGTAAAATGTGTTTTTACTACCAAGGTAGTTTTCGTCATTCTATGAACCACTAGTCAATAAAGACATAGCCTCCTCTGTTATAATTAACCTGAATTCACTGTTTTGATGCGAGATTCGTAGAAATGGCACTCGAATCTGGTAGGTATTCATCAAAAACGACTTGTCATATGCTGTCATGGTCATGGCTTCTAGGTTTTTATTAGAATTGAAAAGAAGGGCTTTCATAGTGACAATATAGGTTCATATTTCAGTTTCACAGAACTGAAATGATTGGAATGTATTGTTATTGGTGAAAATAATTCAATATACATCTTGGTAGTAAAAAATATTATTACCACCGGACCTTTCACCCCACGGATGAAGCCTCGGAATATAATCTTGGTCCTTGGTGTATAAATAATTACTGTTTCGCTGTAGGTGGATTCATGCAACATTTCCCATAATCACGTTGTGATCTCCTTATGTTTCAAATACATTTCAACAGGACAAAGGGTAGGTATACCCCTCAGAACTAATTATTCAAGGTTATGTGTGCTGTTCCTTCTCCAATTTCTTGATATGATATTTTAGGATATGAATGAGTTCCTTTTGATCATTGTATTTCGAAGAATTCAACAATCGTTATTCAATATGTCAATAGTGATTTAATTTCCTGCATTTACTCCTGCATTTACAGTTGACGTTTGTGTGAATCAATGATTTGAGTACCTAAATAACATTATGAATACTTACATATTATTATGTCAGGGCTATAGAAGTGTCCATTTTCATATATACTCAAATAATCTCTGCTCAAGGCTATTGAGACCAGTCGTATGTATATGTCGGCGTCAAACAGTGAAATCCGTGAAAGGCTAGTAAACGTCATTGTCCACCGAAACGCATGTATTTGATGACTACTATAATAGCGCATGGCGCATGCGTATCATGCCACCAAATCCTTATGGATATTCATTTGTTTCATATTTTTGGCTTCATCCTGGCACCCGTTATGATCCGTATTGTTTATTAATACGTATATGTTCTCATCAGGAATGCCTAGTCATTTCAATTATTGCCGGCAAACAGCGTAACTCGTACACCGTTTGCCTAATAGTTTCAGACATTCCCTGTTATGACGGAAGGAAGGTTCATTTAGGGAAAATAGTCTTCCTTTTTATGCATATGGAGAAAGGATTTTCCTTCCTCAACCCTCCGGCAAACACAGTAACGGCTGAAGATGGAAGTTGTTACGCTGTTTGCCGACAATACGTGAAATGACTAGGCATTTCAGGGAATGACGGATTTCACTAATTGACGCCGACATATAGACAACTTTCAGACAGTTGATGTTCGATGCTATATAGAGTATGAAATATAAGCTAACTATTCAAAATAAAGTGGGACTAGTAGGAGACTTCGATTTACTATCGGTTCAAAACTGATTCGTCAAATGTACAATTCATGAATGTAACCGTATGTAACTGTATATACAGAATTCATCTATGATGGATGTAAACAGACAATATGAAATTATGACAAGCAATCGATTTCAGGAATGATGTTGACACTAGATAATGACCCAAACAAATAAGAAGTAGGATGGTTCGTATTTGTGACTATTGTTGTAAGTCAATTGTCTTATCTGAATGATATTCTTCAACGAATAGGGAATGGCATAACAAACTAGATTCTCCATCTCCCATATCACAGATAATTATATACAGGGTGTTTGGTTCACCGAAGTATATCTAGAAGGAGGTGGTAGATAATGTGATTTTGGACATATAGATTTCGGGAGAAAAACAACTACTTTCCTGGCTAATGCCACGCAGAACATTGAATTCGGGAGGATCTAGTATTTCGAATTTCATAGCAACCTCATAATATTCCTAATGATCATAATAATTGGAGTGGCTCCTCCTCTCCAGAAGCATATAACTACCATTTTCAACTCGTTCATTGCTTTCAAAAGCAATCTCATCAGTTTATGTACGTGGCATCCAATTAGATATCATATGCCAATTTTATGTACAACAGATATATCTCAGCCAGAATTGTTAGTTATTCGTGTAATCTTTGTTTCACCACCTTATAATGTAGATTATACAGCAAACAAGGTTTATTATTACTCTTCAGGAGTACGGCAAGCTCAAATTATTAACACATTGATATTTTGAGGCAACTGCTCTGTCCTTTCTGATGAAGATGATTTAGTTGGTTGTCTTGATGATTGATAAAAATTATATAACCCAAAAACTTGAAGATAGTAATTTGAATGTTGATATACAATATTGTTATATCGAAGACTAGAACCTATATTCTCTTGGAATATATCTTGTGTACCTACCTTGGTATACAATGACTATCATATACTGTCTCAGCAGAGTCTGTATTTGACGTAACATAATAAGGCCACTGTACGTAAAAATGATGAAATTATCAAGGACTGGATCAAACAACCAAACCAGCTAGACAGTGAGCCTGACTACTGAAATTCTGAAGATGATTGTAGGGGGCAGAGCTTTTGCATGTTGGTGATTGGACTACTAATGGGCCACTGATGCCTTCTATTAAAACCAGCTGCCTACGAACAGATATTTGAATGAATGAGGAGAAAATGATGCTGAAGTCATCTTCGGGATAGAGGCCTTATTGGTCCGTCGAAGACACTGTATCTTTAACGATTCAAGGCCTGGATGAAATTTCCATCAGGAAAGGGCTTGACGAACCATCAGATTATCAATTCTGACTCCAGGAATACACGACCTGTTCACACAGCAATAAATGAATCTGGGATTAGCAGTTATACCTACCTATACCTGTTCAGTCCGATAACTTGCGGCTGAATTGAGTTGAATAACATTTGTATTGAAACATTTCGCTTTACATCTTGATATCAATTGGAATTATTCAGTCATTGACATTTTGTTCATGGAAGGTCCATCTACAATAAGGACTGTGGTAAGAGAGTTATTTATTATCGTACCGGAATGGAAGAAAATATACCTATCTATGTAAGTCCAAAAATAAATTGAACTGAATCTATTTGAACCGGCACTGGCAACACTGACTCATGATAAGTCTAATCGATGGTTCAATTCCATAGGTCTGTTACCATCGAACAATAAAATTACAAATCCGATGGAATCGAGCAAACGGAATGAATATAAATATCACAGATCTTGTTTTTTTCGAACATGATAATTTTGCGCAACACTCCATATATCATTATTCTTTATCCCATATCTCAATATTTTCCTTACTGAATTGGAAGGATATCTCAGCCTCCAGGGTCAAGGTTAAAATAACTTTTTTAGTGTTCCAATCATGGGCGCCGCCAGAAAAAATCAAGGAGGGTGGGGCGTTTTTTTTAAATTGAAAGCATTGCGCCAAATATAAATTATTTAGGATTCTTTTGATCAATT